ATCTTTGTTATTTAAAAAGCAAGTTCAGGATTTTCAGTCAGTCTGGAGATGTACTTTTTTGTCTCTTTTATTTAGTGAATTATTAATCTGACTCATATATGTTTGCAGTTTTCTGCCTTACTAACACAGAATGCTCAATATCCAGCCCATAATTATAGTATAGTTTTGAAGTACACAGTACATAGCTATAGTAATATTCTTCCTGCAAACATGCAATAACTTATAGGTAAGATGTATGTAAGAAAATTCATAGGAAAGAACTTAATATATTTGTAGTTAAAATTTGTAGTCAAATATGTATTCATGTAATTAGATAATGTATCTTTCAATGTATTTGAATTGCAGATGAATTCTTTTTGTTTCTTTTTGCAGCTAATAAGCTTTAAATCCTTTAAAGCAATACGTCTAACAGTGCACTCATGCTGTGTGGTTAATGCTGAAAAGGAATATCTTTCAATCTCTTCTCACTCCATAAAGAAATAAAATGCAAAAAATCTTGGACAAGGATAGCTGAGGAGAAAAAAGAAAAGCATGAGTATCAAGGGTAATACGTAAGTCACTCCAGAAGTAATGCCTTCTATTTATGTCAATGGAAATTACAACAGATACAAAGAGCACAATAGCAGTATTTGATAGAACAAATTCTCTGCTACAAAGCACTATTTTTCAATACAGTCTGTTAGCTATGCATTTTTGCCAGCTATGAAAAACAGCCTTCCTGTTGCACCTGTAAAAATCAGCACCAGCAGAGGTGACCTACTATTGCTGTTGCTGCTGCTGAAATGCATCATCCACTGCCTCACTGTGTTCACATCCATTGTTTGGTCTTCATAAACATATAGCAAATGGTGATAAATGTCAATGGTGCCATTTTTTTTTTTTTTGCATAGAGGGATTCAGAGGCACACCTTTGCTTCATACACACTGCCTCTTTGCTGCCGTCTGTCACACAGCAATAAAATGGAACAGAATTTTCTTGGGAAGGTTCAAACTCTACTGGATACCACCAATATCCACTTCTGATATTGTGGGTCCACATAATAAAATAGGAGGCATTACTTTGGGAGCAGCCTTTGCAGTTTACATATTCAAATTAAATCACCTGGGTGACTTACTCAGCCTAATTTTAAATCCATAGTGATTTTCAGATGTATTTCTATTCTATTCTTACTTTTTATAAACAACATGAGCCAACACAAAGACTGGTCTAAATTTTCAGTGGTTATTTGCAATTTTTAACATTGCTCTTAGATTCAGCATACAATTTGATTAATTGTATTTGCTGCAGGCTGTTTTCATCATTCTCTTCAGTGGAGTACAAAATGCCAAATTTTAAAATGGCCATGGAAAACTAGCACTAGAAACAGGTTTTAAATAATCCTCCAGTCCAGGAGAGGTTTTTGTAGCAGAATTCAAGTGGGTTACAAAAACTACTGTTAAAAAAAGATGTGTATTTGAGGATAGGTCCCAGTCCTTTCAGTTCTGGACTTCATGAGGTCAAAAATCTTCCCAGTATTTATGAATACAAGATTTTGCATTCAGATAGGTTTAGCTGAACAAATGAAAAAAAAAAAAAAAAAAAACCTCCCCATGAATACAAAGCTTCCTACTGGTTGTGTATTTGAGAAGTCTGAAGAGCTCTGTTTATTGTAACAAAGGGCCTGGAATAAATTATGTTTAGTAAATTGGCTCCAGGTTTTCCTCTTTCAGACAGTAGCTTCAGAACAATGTTTTATAGGCTCCACTAAATCTGACCAATTGCAAGGAGGTGACACCTCATTTCGCAGACGTGACATCACATGTGCCAGTTATGTCCAGCTGCCTCTCTTTGGCAAAGATGGCAGGACACCAGCAAATCCACATTTTGTCTTTTTGGCAGTTTTCACCCATGTTTGATGTGAATTAATGGGTTCCACAGGGAGGTCCAGGCAGGATGGAGCCTGGCCCTTGGCCCTCTTCAACCAGGCACCTCCCAGTCCTGCATGGGGCAAATAATAGCTCCTTTCTTCTGGTGGAAATATCCCAGTCCCACAAGATGTGTACATAGCTTCCTTCCTTAGCTGGTCTTGCAGGTGATAATTAACACAGTGAAGAAATTTCCTAGCTGAAGCCAAGGTGGGAAAGCAGCTTTGGCTTCAGACTTTTTCTCTGAGTTCATTTGCCTTATTTATGTTGGGTCTGATCATTTTGAGGAAGTTTTGCAGCATGTTGGTGCCTAGCAGAAATACTGAACTAAAGGAAACAATTTTTCGTCCTTGGACAAAACTCCTACTTGAGCAGAGGAAAAGAAGGAAGTTAGATTAGCTTTTAGGTTTTGTATTTTATTTCTGTTCTCGGGCCTGATTATTTTGGAGCAGCATGACCATAGCTCTTTTGAGCTCAGGGCACTGATTGACATTACATATGTTACAGAGAGGAAGGGTACTTCCTGAAGATTAGTGGCCAGTTAGTTGTTCTGAAGTTCATTAACCTGAGCTAGTCATTAGGCTGTTGGAAGGATTCTGTGTGGAAGCTGGAATTGTATTAGAAGATCATCATAAACTAAAAATATATGTGACAATCTGGCTGGATTGCAATGAGTCTAGGAGAAGATGGTTGGCTCAAGCTCACAGAGCAGCTGCCTTCAGTGTAAACTAAACGCCATGTGTCAGGAATTAAAGCAAATGTTTCTTCACAGACACTGTTCAACTAAAAAGGGGGGAAAGAAAAAGAAAGAAGGAAAAAAAAAAAAAAAAAAGATTTCCATTAGCAGAACACTGCATGAAAAAGTGAATTTCCCTATGACCAAAACGCCAAATGCAATGCTGGTCTCCAGTCTCCAACTAAACAATACGGTGTGTTTGGTCTACAACTTTTTTCTACCAATGGCATTTTTTTTTTTCTTCATTGTACTTCACCTTGGAAAGATGAGCCCCAAATTCTCTGGTGTGATTCCTGTTGGTTGTGACCCAAACCCCCAAGCCAAAATATCTCAGCATACCTGCAGTGAGATTGACACCCCGTTAATTGCTAATTTTTGAAGTGTGGTTTGTCTCTGTCATCCTGCAGAAGATGAATAGGACTGGTATGTCTCATCTTAATACGACCCTTTCCCTTCCTCCTCTCCTTCTTTTCCCCCTTTTCACCATATGATCCAGCAAGAGTTAATGTTGGTTTTAGTCCCACCACAAACAAGTTTACCAGCATGGAAGAAGTAAGAGCTATCATCTTTCAGGATCCTGTAGTCTAGTAAAAAAGAATAGAAAGATAGAAAACAAAGACATTTCAAATTTGTTTTGCTTTCTTTTTGTGTCTTCTCACGAATGTGTGGTGGCACTTGGTCAAAAGTATTGCATTCAGACACAGAATGTAAATGTTGAGAAAGGGATCGAGAAGAAAGAGACTTAATGTTCTTCATAGGAAGGACGCTACGGGTGTTTTTCAACTCTGTTCCCCTCTCTCTCTCCCCATCACAACCTTCCTGTACTTTCTCTTGTCCTTCAGCATTGGCAGAAGTGCTGGAAGCTCAGAAAGCCCCAGCTTCATCTGTGAGAGGTTTCCTTTGGCAGAGAGAACTATAGAAGTCTTCTTTCCAGTCCCTTTGTTCAAGGAAGGTGGTACTACTTGCCTGATAAGGTACTGAGTTGATTCTGGATGCCTCTGCAGCATGCAGAGGGATCTCTGCAGTGCTTCAGCTAGATGAAGTGCAAGACATTTGGGGTTACTTGGGGGGGCTGAGTTGTGCTGGGTCCCTCATGGGCTCACAAGGAGTCTTTCCACTTATGTCTGTCCAAAAGGCATTGGTACCTTTCAGAATATAATTCTGATGAAAAATCATGAGCCATTAATCTTGTTACTAGCCATGACATTTCCTTATACTTTGATTTACAGCATCACTCAAACACTAACTTGTCATTTCCCTGGATGTCTTCTTCTGACTTCTGGTATTGTGCACTTGCAGGAGAAGGAATCTGCCCTCACAAATATTTTCATGTTCTGACCTCTGTGATTTATTAACCATCAACTTCTGCCTTGAGAAATCAAGATGTCATTTCCTTAATAATTCCCTAGGAAATAAATGGATTTATTGGGCAAAAGGGATCCCTCACAGTCAAGTACCAAACAGGACTCCAGAAGAGCTGTTGCTGCTTTCTATGCAGCTACTGAGGTGGCTCAGGTGTGGCCTGTAGGAAATAAGTTTGTTACAGTTTTATGGTTGCAGTCTTGTCTAGGGAAAATAAGGACAGTGATAATTGCTTTCTTTTGTAAAGCACTTTAAGATTTATGGAATATGAATGACTGTTATTAAGTGAAAAGTGTTGCAAAGCTGGCTTAGTTGCGCCCTGTATTAACACAGTCCCATATCAGCCTATTGACCTCAGCATGAACTACTCATTAAAGTTTATAGGACATTTTGTGGGTGAATTGAGGCAGTTATTCCGCTGAAAATATCGTACTGAAAAGCACATTTAAGTCCATCAGCAGCACTGACTTTTTCTCTCTTAAAACTTTATTTGGAAACACCACTGCAATTTTCTTAGTTTATTTATGAAAATTTATGATGGATATCTCCTTACTGTTAACTCAGTTTTTTATCTCTTGGTATCTGTGATACAACAGCTTATTCTAGCCATAGGATAAACATACAATAGCTTTTATACTGAGATAAATAATGAGATATAAAACAGCAAGATATCAAATGGAGCTGTATAAACTAATGAGATGCACAATCATATTTGAATGGCAAATATTCTTTTCATTGACACTGAATTAATTTTTTGTTTAGACTGTAGCTATGTTAGACATTGTTCTTTGAAAATCTTATGCATTTTCCCAACCTTAAAGTAAGTGTGGTATTAAAGAAACAGATTTTGATTTATATTAGAGAAAAATAAAACAATAAACTTCTATAGCAAATGTGTTAAATGAGTTACTTAAGCCGGCTGGGTCTGGCTTATTTTCAGAAATATTATTTATATGATAATGAAAAAGATCTACAGATGTTTTATTTTTGCTTCCAGATTAAACTTGGATTGTTTGAAGAGTGGAGAGATATTTCACGGTAGTGCAAAAAGTGCATAAGAAGAGAGCAAAATGAGAGCTTCCCAAGTACCGAATGCCTGCAGCCTGTTATCTTTAGCAATGCTGTTCCTTCCCGTCACTGGAACGTCAAAACAAAATATCCCAAGACTCAAACTTTCCTATAAAGGTAAACTTCTCAACATTTTTTTTCTGATTCTGCCACTTTTGTTTTTATGTGATGTTGCCAGCAGTTCATTACTGTTACTAACTGGGCAAATGAAACACATTTGTCACAGTTTCCAGAAATACGTGGCAAAAACCTTGAGTATGGATGAATTCTACACATTTCAGTTTGCTCCTAAAGAATTTTCATATACTGTACATAAGTTATGGGAGAGTCATTGTCTAAGCATAGGATTCTAGTGCTACTTGAAACAGGATGAGACCCATTGGTGTCCCACATGGGGATGAGATGGGACTTGGGGAACATCAACACTTTTCTAGAGCATCAGGGAAAGTACCTCAAGTGTTCCAAGTGGCACCTAACTTGTAATCATTTTTTCTCTATTCTTCAATCTGTATATGAAATTCATTAAGCGTTTTCTGTCTTTTAACCACTTTGGATCACAAATGCTTGTTGTTCTGGGAATGTCTTAATCTTATCTATGTTTCTTGTTCAGAATGTTGAGAAGATTGAGGGGTTTAAATACATATTTAAAGAAAATTCCTGTATGGTCATATTCTTACAGAAAGGAGGTTTCTTATTGCTTTGATTGCATAGTACATTTCCACAGCTTTCAAAAGAAATGGAAATTTATCACTTTCATACTGATATTCTTTAGCTAATGCAAATGCTCTCCAGATAGCCATTTTTTCAGCTATGTCAGCACCCTGACCTTATGGGAGCTCATTCTGTTCTCAGTTTTTCTAACATAGGTATTTGTGTGCATTGTGATGTCACATTTGGGATGGTCTGACTGTACAGGAGGCTGTAAAGCCTTCATCAGTGATTATGATATGCTTATCAGAGCTCTAATACTCTCAAGAATTTATTGAGTAAGCATAATGAAACACTATTTATTTACAAGTTTCTCTTTTGTTAGATGTGTATACCACTATATATAGAATTACATTGGGCATATCTGTGTTTGAATGTGTTTTTTGAAAGAGAGACAGTGGAAGAGAGATCAAGAGATCTTGACAACATTTTTATAAATTCAGGAAACAGTTACACTCACTTAAGCCAATGAATACAGAAACTGAAAGACCTGACATGAATTATGAACGTTAGCAGTAAAAAAACCCTGAACATATAGCTAGACTTTTCACAGCTATGCCTTTTTGAGATAATTCCCAATAGCAGCATATACCATATGGTGATGGCATTTATTGTGGATTTGACACTCATGATTAGTGAATTCCTCTTGACTTCAAAAGCAGATAGCCTTTGGCAAAATCCTGATGGATGCATTTGGCAGGTAAGGAGAGAGAGAGAGAAAAATTATTGAGTTCAACACAGGGGAAAAAATTAAAAAAATACAACCTGAAATCTTAGTTTAAAATAGTGGCAGAGACCTGCTGGGAGTGGCTGTGAAAATGCCTGAGCTCGTTCAAAAGGACAAAGAATGGATGATTGATATTTAGGCCCTGACCCAAACTTTTATTAGCAACTTTATAAAACTTTCAGTTTGGCTTGAGGGTTACAGTTTGCTATCCAAACTTATCCACCTATATCCCTGTAGGGGGAAAGAAACCAACAGATACAAACCGGCACATAAATCTTGATTTGAAAAGCTGCAGCGTAACTGAAAAGCCAAAGGAGAGAGAATTACCAGATTTTATCATTGCTTTTTTTAGGAGGGAGAGTGTATTTTTCTTTTTCCACAAGGAAAAAGAAAAAAAAGTACTGCTTTTTTCACACTTGGAAGTGTTAAATTAACAATGAGAGGAACAGTCTTAAAAGATTTGTTTTATGCACTTGGTATTATACTTCTGGATAATGTATGGATTGAAGATAGAGAGAAGTAAAGGAAAACACAGAGTTGCTGCTCATTCTGAAGGATAATATTAATCTACCCAGGAGAGTTAAATGCATCATTCCTGGTTGTTTTTTTTTTTTTTTTTTTTTTGCAAGATATCAAGTTTTGTTTCCAGAAAACCTGCATGTCTTTATAAGCCATGGCATGAAGAGTTCAGTGCTGTGGCCACCCACTTCAGAAGAAAATGTGGATCAGGCATATTTAATCTGCAGATGATATTAGGTTGCTTATAAGTCTATTCAAAGAACCACTATGCACCCTCAGGTGTCTCAGTTTTAAAGAATAATTCTGAAATTCTTTGTTTGTGCTTGTCAGTGGATGATGGACTTCACATTGTAAGTAGTGTGGGCTTGTGTCATAACTAAATTAAAGTTTGGATGATGATAGCTGTTTGTCAGATGTTCTGACTATTTAATATAGTTGTCAGAACTAAGCTCACTATTCTATTTTCTTTTTTCCCCTAAGCATTCTCACCAAAATAACTCCAAGATTTCTGAGAAGATGTAGGAGAAATTAACTGTCTTGCCAATTCTTATACAATTGTTAGAGTCATGTCATTGACAAGCCCTGGCATCTCCATGCTTTGGAGTTTGAATATCATAAGGAGGATGATATGAAGGCCTTTTCCATCCTTATGGAAAACTGATCAAACTTGGCCACATCAGGCAGTGCTGAAGACCTAATCACACATTCGTGTTCATTACACTGCTAAAAGTATTGTCTTCCAAGAGAAAGTTTTATCCTCTTCCAAAGGCGATGTGTTTATGGGATGGCATAGCTCTATCTTCCCAGAATGGCTGAGTATTTACTAGGACTGGAAATAAGCAGGACTTTCCCCTGAAGTTGCTTCATCTCACAGCTGTAGCTACTGAAGAGGAGTAGAGCACACTGCAGCTGAGAGCTAGGAAACTGCTCCTTCCCATGCCCTAACAGAAAAGAGAAGGAGGAGCATGCCAAGGGGTGAGTGCTGAGAATGAAGGGTAAAGGACAGGAAGAGAGGAAGACAAAGAAGAAGCTGTATTAAAGTAACACGGAGGAAGAGAAAATTGAATGAGAAGTTGGGGGCGGACAGAAGAAGAGGAAGAAGGAGAAGGGTGGAGTAGCTAAAAAAGTTACTAGAACCGCAAGGGTTCTCCAGTAATCCTCTGTGCGTCATGAGGCCTCTGTGTTCAGACGGTAATTAAAACTTTAGAGCTTGTTCCCGTGGCAGTTATGAGTTTTTGTCTTCTGAGAAGTAGCTTAAGGCATTGAAGTCTCTGCTGGGAAAGTTAAGGTGCAGATATTTCAGTGAATCATTGGTATCAGTGTGATGCTATACGGTGGATTTCCTTCATTCTTTGCGTCAGTTCTAAAATTACATGTTTAGAAAATCATACATCCATAAAATGATAAGCATGGACTGAAGTCAATTAAAATATCTTTTAATAGAGTTGCAAAATCGAGAACATACCTTCAACTTGTGTTGATATAACACACTATAATGTTTAATTACATTTCTTCCTATATTCCCACTTTTTCTCTGATTCATTAGTCCAATAATTCTTCATTATTTCTTTTTATCTTCTCAGCTTAGACTTGTAGCTATTAGAGATTGGTGTATGTTATTCTTACTCTGGAAATTATTATTGCTTTCATGATACTTCTAGGGTGCTCTCAGTACATTGACCTCAATTAATATTTCTCCTAGCTATTTTTCACAAGGTTATAAGGTATTTTAATTACTATATCTGTAAAATTACAGCAAGGTAAACGAATTTTCTACCAATAGAGGACTACTACTAGGACCTGAATTTTTAGTAATACTTTATATTTTATTAGTGTTTGTATTACAGTATAGTTGCTGTCAAAGTAAAGGTATGTATTTATCATTCGTTCTGATGTACCTGGAGTTAACCTGTGACTATCACCCAAACTGCAGAACTCCTCAAACACAGAAGTGGATTTCAGGTTCCCTAAACCACACATACTTGCTGTCTATTACCTCATTTAGCATCCTCATTTCAACAAGTGCAAAAAGTTGCAATATATCATTCATAGAACGGCATCATTTCCATTACTTAGCGTAGGAGGAGCCTGTGTCATAATTCATGCATATAAATATGTTTAGTTCATTTTGTGTAGACTGTATGTCTTTTGGAATGGTCTTTGCCAATTCATTGTCAGATACTTTTACAAAGATTTTGTTATGAGTATTTCTGGGTTTTACTTTTAGGAAGAATTGAAAACAGAAGAAAACAAAACATTTTTTTCAACCATTTTCAATTTTTGGTCTTCCTAAAATTTTCCAGTAGAAATGCAGACTCCTAGTTGCAAATTTAAACCTATGAGTTTGCTTTATTTATTTATTTATCTATCTATCTATTTATTTATTTATTTATTTATTTATTTTTCATGGATCTTTTAACAGTAGACTGGATGCTGAAGGAATACATTTATATTTCAAAAGTGTGCTCCTTGCTTCCTTGGTTATGGGGTATGCCTCAGCCCAGATTTGTACACTATCACCAGTGACACATCCATAGTTATATCTGTGAACACATATCATTCCTGTGCAGAGGAAATACGGCCGTGCAATAGGAGCAAGCCACACTTCCTGTGACCAGTGCTGATTTGAGTGATCAGGGGACCAGAATCCTACACTGTGACACAGCAAGCAGAAAAAGGCAAGACTAAATGCAAACTTCGGATTTTGAAACAGAATTTACTTAACACTTAAAATAGTTACAGCAGTAATTTAAATCTATTATACAGGAGCATTATTCTGAGCTGATTTCTTCAAAATGAATGCATTTAGATGCTGTCTCACCCCCTCTACAGTCATGGCAAAGAGTTTGTCACATAAGTAAACTGTAGCAAGATTAAATATCCATGCCTTGCTTTTTTTTCATCTTAACTAAGTAAACTAAGGATGTGAAATTCTGCATTCTCTGTTTAAGAATGACAATGCTAAATCAACAGCCTCAGTGGAAATTAGGCACATTTAAGAAATGTTTAGCTTCATGCAGTGTTCGTGTACATGTTTTTCTTCCCCCTAAGAGCAATACATTCTTATGACATGGTGAAAAAGAGAGCAGAGAATTACATTTTTGTGCCAGGAATTCTTTTGAAAATTTGACTGGATTAGTGCATTTCCTTAATTTTCTAAAAA